AAGATTTTATTTATTTATTTGACAGGGAGAGAGACAGTGAGCACAAGAAGGGGGAGCGGCAGGCAGAGGCAGAGGGAGAAGCAGACTCCGCACTGAGCAGGGAGCCCAGTGCGGGGCTCAATCCCAGGACTCCGGGGACCATGACCTGAGCCGAAGGCAGATGCTTAACCGATGAGCCACCTAGGCGCCCCATCTCCTATAACATTTTTGAAAAGACTAAGCCCAGTAATAGGGAAGTAGTTGTCAGAGGACAATTACTGTCTTAACTGTCTACTTCAGACTCATGCTGCCAGTCACCACCAATTAGATAAATATAAGGATGATTTTTTCCTAATTTAAACATTTAAGGAGAGGAGAAGTACTGTAAGAACTGTGGTTCCAGAGATGAAGATGGTCTTTTGCATTTCCTAGCTGGTGTGGTCATGGCATGGTGTATAGAAGAAACATACTTCTTGTCCTGCCATTGCCAAGGGCTGGGGCTATAACTTGTAAACAATTCCTTTTTTCTGGGCCTTAGTTTTCTTTAAGATGAGGGACTAATTCATATCAGATGTAGTATAATTTAGAGTTGGGTAGAATTGGTCCTCATTTAACTTTGGGAGGAAGAGAATTGCCAAAATTTAATCTAAGATCTATTCCAGTAGTTCTGTTGGGTCTCAAGCTGGATTTTAGGGAGTTCTTGTCTCAGTGGTACTTGGGAAAGCTAATCTAGAGATGAGCTCGGCCCATCTCTGCACCTGACAGGTGCTTACCCTTTGACTGAAACGTGTGTGTCTGATGGAAAAGGCTGGGTACCTGATACCAGTTTGAGTTTTTAACGTGTATGTGCTATATTGGAGAAGCGAACTGAGGCTGCAAGGTGGTTTGACCTCAGTCTGCAGACAGTAGGGTTGGGGAGAAGTTCGTTTCTCCGGGCAAAATGGCAAGCAGGCAGTTCTGCATAAGGGAACCGCACACTGGGAGTGGGAAGGCCCTTTCAGGTCCCTGATACTTTTGGTATCTTGGACAGAGCGCTCAGTCTTTGGGCCTCTTGTCCTCAGGTGTAAAACATGATGTACAAGTTCTCTTTGAGCCCCAGTTTGCAGAACTGGGAAGATCTGCTCCCGTTCCAGTGCACCCTAAGTAGTGGTCAGCCCAGATTGAAATCACATAAGCTGACCACATTTTGTGTTTTAGATTCGACAGAAGCTGCAGGCTAAACAGGCGGCCATGGAGAAGTCTGAAAAGGCGAAGCAACTGCGAGCACTTAGGAAATACGGGAAGAAGGTGAGAAGGAAAGTGTGCGGGCATAGGATGTGGCCGAGTGTTTGTCAGCCTGGGGTGCCGGGGTCAGATCTGGTTCCGTACCCTGTGTGTGTTCTGTCTTGTGTTACTTATCTCCCCACAGAAGGGGCATGTGTGCTCGGATCCATAAATACCATCTTTCCTTGACACCAGGGTCTCACCGGAGCGGGGAGTGGGGGGGGCGTGGTAACTGCCGAGGAGTCATTCATTTTGCTGGACTTCATTTGCACATCTGGACAGTGAAGGGGTGGGTCTGAATCAGTGGGCTCCAAACCTGACCTCACAGCAAAATCACCTGCGGAAATCTTTCAAAACAGATTTCTAGGCTTCAGAATGTCTGGGAATCTGTGTATATTATCTTCCCTTCCCCCAAAAACTTTTCACATGATTCTGAAATGCATCCTGCTCTGGAGAATCACTGGCCTAGATGATTGTAAAGTCTTTGAAAGAACCATATTGTTGATTGTCATCCAACTGAGAGGAAAAACGGCACCTGTATGCTTGAACTATGGTTGTCTGAGTTCTAATGTAAAATCTAGGGAAACCCTTCTTGGTTTTTCCTCTTAATTCATGGTTATTTAGGAAAGAAGATGACAGGAGTTAAAGTCAGGGTTGTGGGAAGAAGTGAGCGTGAGGAGGATCAGCACGAGTGTTCAGACTTTGTCAACATTTTGGACATAAACATTCACGATCTGGGGTGGTGAGCTGCTGTCCATATTTGGAGTCACTTCACTGATGGGTCCTCGGCGGAGTAAGAGTAGATCAGCATCCTGTTCTCTGCGGAAGGGCAGCTGTGCATTTATTGGATTGATCTGGTGGTTGATGGCTGAGGTCAACTCAAAGACCTGGGTTTGAGGAAATGTCATGGCAGTGGTTCTCAACTGGGGAGAATTTTGCTTACCAGGGAACATTCAGCAATGCCTGGAGACATTTTTGGTGTCACGTCTCGATGGGGAGTGTGCTACTTGAATCTAGTGGGTAGATGGCAGGGAGGCTGTTGAATGTCCTACAGTGCCCAGGACAGGCCATCCACGCCCCAATAAAGAGTGATCCTGTCCAAGCTATCAGTAGTATTGAGATTGAGAAACCCTGCCTTTGAGTGTAAGCATCTGCTTTTGTCCTTCCAGCTATTTTTCTTTTTGGTTTTTTGGGAGACTGTTTCTGTTGATGCTTTTCATGCCTACTAACGGTAGGGGCTAGGTACTTAATCTGAGAATTGGATGTAGACCTAGGCATGATTTGCTATGGTTTTGTAGGCACAATTGTGTAATGAGGTAAGAGTGCAGACTCCGGGGTGTGAATTCAGCTGTGCACTTTCTCGTTGTGTGACTCAGGCAAGTTACTTAGCCTCTCTGTGCTTCGGTTTCAGGGGGTGATAGGAATTTCTACTTTACAGGGTAGTTGAGAAGATAAACTAACAATATACTTAGAGCCTTAGCATAGGTCTGGCGTGGAGTAAATGTTCGGTGGTGGTGGTAGCGCAGCGTTTTTACCAAGAGGATGGAGACACTTGCAGTGATGATGGTCTCGAGCGGGGGTGACAGCCCTTTGTTTATGTCCCAGGTGCAAACAGAGGTTCTTCAGAAGAGGCAGCGAGAGAAAACACATATGATGAATGCCATTAAGAAATATCAGAAAGGTCAGTATATCTCCCTTGTAGGATATAGGGGGGCAGGGGCAGCTGCTAATCTTAACACCTACTGCTCTAGAGCTTCGATTGCATTGGAACTAAGGTTTGGGAACAGTGTGGGGAGCAGGATGTGCCTCTTAAAATTAATTTAGCAAGGAACAACCTTTTTTTTGAAACTTCAGCTTTTCTTAAAATGTGTTGGTGCTGATCAAAGTACCTCTTCACTCCTAGGCTTTTCCGATAAACTGGATTTCCTTGAGGGGGATCAGAAACCTGTCGCACGGAGAACGAAGGAAGGAGCAAAAGGCCAGCAGACGAAGAAGGGGTATGAAGGGTTTTGCTTTGGCTTTGTGGTGGGTACTGGGCAAGCAGTCCATGAGCACAATGAAGACCTCCACAGGAGTGGCCTAAGAATTGAGAGGGCACAGTGCTGCCTGTGACCAAGGCTTACAAGCCTATGTGATGGGTCCTTTTAGCCCTATCAGTCTTGGAAGATTAAAGTAGGGTGATTTAGGGGGCGCTTGGCTGGCTCAGTAGAGTATTTGACTCTTGATCTTGGGGTCAGGAGTTCAAGCCCCACGTTGGATGTAGAGCTTACTTAAAAAAAAATAATTTGTGAAAAAAAGAAAAACCTAAAGTAGGGTGATTTAAGGATTTAGCACATTTTAAGTGAATACTCAGTAAAAGTTGATTTCCTCATCTCCCAGTATGATGGTTAAGAGTGCAGACCTAGGGTTTGGGTCTAGAATCTGCCATTTTGGGTAGCTTTGAGCAAGTTACTTGACCTTTCTAAATATTAGTTGCCTCATCTGTGAAAATGAGAAAATTGTATGCCCTCATAGTATTATGCAGATTTAAAAGGGCTAATGGCAGATATTATTATTTGCTTCCTAGTTTACCTTTATGCATCCCTGGACTACCAGGCCTGGGGGAAATGATAATTTCTGTAGAATGTATTAATGTCATGATAAAGGCATTTACGAAGTAGTGTGGAAGCATATTTTAGAAATAGCAGACCCGATCTGGGGATCAGGGTGTGAGGACGGCTCCCTGGAGGAGAGTCCCACCTGAGCTTAGTCTGAAGGATGAACAAGAATTAACCAGGAGAATAGGAGAGACACAGATTTTAGCAAGAATGAAGAATACAAATGAGCAAAAGCATAGAGATGAGAGCAGCAGCTTTGTGTATGAGGAACAGCAAACATTTGGTACCACTGGGAGTGCAGTGTGGGGCAAGGAGAGGTGAGATGTAGCTGGAGGGGCACCTGGGCGGAGTCACAGAGGCAGTGTTTGCCTTGTTAAGAAGCTTGGGTTTTATCCAGTAGGCAATGAGGGAGACATTGATAGGCTCTGCTTAAAATAATGACCAGGTCATAGTCATGTGTTTGAAAAATTACAGTGGTATTTGTATAAAAGATGGACCTGAGGGAGGCAGGGAAACTGATTAGGGGGCTACTACAAAGTCCAGAGAGCAATGATAATGAGCTGAAAGTGGTAACGGGCAGAGAAGAGAAAACGGGTTGAAGAAATAATCAAGAAGTTAAATTAGCAGCGCTCAGTAATTGTGTTGGGTATAGAGAGTGAAAGAAGGAAGAATCAAGGCTGGCGCCCAGGTTTCTAGCCTAGGAGGCTGGAATAGATGGTAGGACTACCAACCTCGAGTCAGTGTTCATAGACAGGAGGTGAAACCAGTCTAGGAAGGGAGATGGCATGTGATTTTGGATATGCTGAATTTGAGATTCCTGTGGGATGACCAGTTTTTAAATTTATTACATTTGAATGTTAATTGCATGTCCTATCTTTGAAAGGAATAGAAACAACTGAGGATGATCTAGCAAGAGTTAGTTAAAATAGAAGAAGCTTTCCAGGGATAAGTGTTGAGCCACAAGATATATGTGGATCCTTTCCTGGTTCTTGCTTTGTCTTCATGCTCTAGTGGTTAAAACCATAAGTAGATGAGCTTGCCTGGAGAGTTTTTGGAGTTAAGAATGTAGGGCCAAGGATGAGATTATGGGTAACGGTAACATCTAAGAGCTTTTGCTTATAGACAGGAAACTAAGGGTATTGGTGGGCCATGGGATCCATCAGGATTTGTAGTGTTGTGGGTAACCTGTAAGCCTGCTTTTTTTTCCAGGCCCAATGCTAAGCGGCGCTATAAAAACCAGAGGTTTGGTTTTGGTGGAAAGAAGAAAGGCTCCAAGTGGAACACACGTGAGAGCTATGATGATGTATCCAGCTTCCGGGCCAAGACGGCTCATGGCAAGGGCCTCAAGAGGCCTGGAAAGAAAGGATCAAATGTAAGTGAGCCATGGGTCCCATCCCACAGCTACCCACGCCCTTCTTTTCCTTGGGGCAGAAGGCCAAACTGCTGTGTGACCACATGTGGTATTTCTTTTTCCGTAGAAGAGACCTGGAAAACGGACAAGAGAGAAAATGAAGAGCAGAACACACTAAGCAGCATCTTTGTATACAAAGAACCGAGAAAAAGGGTTGTAGACTTGGGATTTCACCATCCGGTTGGATTTCTTCTGTTGGTTTCTTTTTGTAAAAAGTTCTTTAATAAACTAAAATATTTTCAAAGAAACATATAATCTTGGTTAAAAATTCAGGAATAAAAGATGGAGAAGTTACTTTTATGTATTAAGTAAGATTGCTATTTATTGACGATAACTTAGACTTTGAATTCAAATTGCCTTTCCTCTCTGATAGATGAAGATATAACTTACACCTTCCTCATCCTTCTAAGTAATTGTATCGCGATTTTAGATAAATCAAGAGTCAGTGTTTATATCATTATGATTGTTTAAATACCCATCACTGTCAGCTAGATGTACTATGATAAAATTTCCTTTGTGGCACAGGTTTTGGGTTTCCCTCGAGTTAATTATTACTTTGTATTTTTCTGTATGCCTAATTTTCCTTTTATATCCTTATTTTTCCTTAGACGCATGTCATTTTATCCACCTTATAATTTCCTGCTCCAACCTAGGTCTGTCATACAGCTCTCACCCTGTCTCTTCTAGACCATCTAGATTGCACCCACTATTTCCTGGAATCCATTCCCGTCTTAGCTTATGCCTTCTTTTGCCGTGTACCATCTTCTAGTATCTTCCTAGGCATTTCTGCAGTTGCCTTTAGTTTGGCTGGTGGAGTTTTCCTGAGAATGTTGCAGGCACTGCCTCCTCTCGGAGAAGTTGCTGCCATTCCTTCTCTTTCTTCTCTCTGGAAGCTTTTCTTCCAGCAATCTGAAATTCCATGATGACATGCCTTGGTGTGGGCCTGTTTTTATTCTTTGGTTAGGGTATTTGGAAGGATGCTGGATCTTCAGTTCTGGCAAATTTTATTGGATAGCTTCTCCCTATTTTCTTTGTTCTAATTCTGGAGTTTCTGTTAGTCACATTTTGAATCCCTTCTGATGATCTAAGTTTGTATTTTAGTTCCACTTTAGGGAAAAGATTTCTTTTGTTCTTTTTTCTAATCATCTAGTGAATATTTATTTTGGCTTTCATCTTCCATTTTATCCCCTAAGAGTTCTTTATTCTATTATCTTAGAATGTGAATTATAATTTTGGTTTTTTAAGACTTTTCTTCTGTTCCTTTCATTCTGTTTCCTTGGGTTTCCCCCAGCCCCTCCCTGTGCATTATGATACCCCTTTTTCATGTTGAGCTGTGTGGAAGTCAAGAGCCAGACTGCTGGGTTTAACACCTGTTTCTACTGCTTACCTGCTGTTTGACCCTGGGCATTGTGTTAATTTTTTTGTGCTATGTCATCTCTGTATAGACATGAGTCTATACAGAGTCTACTAAATACAGTTTCTGTCAGCGTTAAGTGAGTTAACATATGTAAAATACTTAGAACATTGCCTGCCATATGGTAAGAGCTTATACCTGCTTGGAATTATTTTGCCTGGGGGCTTTTCATAATGTCTGAGCCTTGGTGGTACATATTTGAGAGGTACTCAAATGCTGTCTGGAAGCTAGGCATAGGTGGGACATGGGTGGGCAGGCCACGTTGCATGTTGGGTTTTACTCTGTGTTGGTAGGGTAGGAAGTTTACTTGCCCTCCCTTTCACCATACCAGTTTAGAAACCATACTTTAAGGAGGCTGGAAATACCTTAGAACTGTACATTTTTAAGCAGAAAAAATGATTTATTTTCACATTGTTTCCTTTCTTGTAGCATCATTGGTATATAAAATTTCTCGTTCCATATGATTCTTTCTGGTACCAAAAGAATGAATTTAGTTTTTGTAAACTAATTTCAGTTAACAAAATTCTGAGTGAACAGGTCATGTGTTCAGAAGACCAAAATGTTTTACCCTGACCTATTTTTGACAATCTACAATATTAGCGGATGGGGTAATGTACAGTAATTCAAATAAGGAGCCTCAGAATCAGTTCAAGACTTTGGATTATGTGTGGAACATATTGAGAGTTCTAAGAAAGGAGAACACAGGTTAACAGTTCACACTGGTAAGGCCAAAAGTAAGTCATTACTGCTAGTACCTTTAAAGAATTTGAAAACTTGTACCTACCTTTCTTCCTTTTCTTTTTTTTCTTGGATAGCAAATGGAATCACTTTCCTCAATTTCAGAGATATACTTCATAGAAGTCCTTTATGTCACCTCCTCCACCATATCAGCCCACAAAGTATCACCAGGGTGCAGGCAGAATTATCCCTCCCATTGCATTATATTGCAGTCCCATGCATTGAGACGTAGGTGGGGACCGGGTAGGTCCCAGCGCCAAATACAGGCTGTTCTTGCTTGTGGGTGGATTTCAGCTCTCAAGGTAGCAGTTTCTTGGCAACACTATTCACATTTCAGTGACCCAAGTATTGTTAACCATGAGTAATTGCAGAAAGTAGAAACTTTGCTGCTAGCTCTTCAGGCCACAAATCTCTACCTAAATAACATGCGTAATGAGTAGTGAGCAACCATCACTGCGGGTGCGTGGGTGGTGGGTCACTACACATCTTACCCCGTTCATGCGCACATGGCAGAGTGCCCTTGGGTGGCCTCTTCGTCTTCCAGCCATAAACCCACATTTTACAAAAGCAGACAATTGAAAGAGAATCCACCAAGAAAGATGAAAGTAGGACGAATAAATGCAGGCGATAAGGTTGGAAGTAAAATTTGAATAGGACACAAGTGGAGCCAGAGGAGAAAAGAGGTGCAAGGGAATGGCGACACTTGCTTTCTGGAGACTCCATACGCAGCCACAAAGGGAGTGAGAGCGAGCTTATCAACGTGATGAGGAACATGACAAAAAGGCTGAAGATGTCCCTGAGGAGGTGACACCGGTAGGAAAGTTCACATTAAAGGGGCCTGCGGGGGTATTTTGTGACGTTGAAAGTACGGGTGATAAAATGGTGGAAGCGAATCCAAACTTAGGAGGAAGACGGTTTGCCAACACGCAGAGAGGAAGCTTGCTCCACGTCCTGCACAAGGAAAAAGGCAAGCACGGTTTTTTTATAAGCAAAACACTTGATTCTCAATGTGTTTAATGTTTTAAATTCTAGTCTACCAAATGCTAGTTTTATTATTTTTTTCATTTGATGCATTTAACAATAGGAGCTTTTAGTACTTTGATGAACTTTAAAAAATCTCTTCATCATCTTGGATACTGTATTTCGAGGACAGCATAGAAGGCAGACAGTTGATATGCAGAGATGTGAGTCTAATTCTGATTCTAGTATAAATTATAAAATAGATCAGGTCCCAGGTTCTTTTTCATCACAGAGTTGTTGGCTCTGAAAGTCGTCCCTGCTAGGTCTGTTCCTTTAAATACAGCACATTCACTTCTTCAACGTAAGAGAGAGAGTAAGCTGTTACTCTGTACAAAGGCAGTCCTCATTTTGCTCAGTAGCGCAGGACCAGAAAAATGAGCTGCTTGCTGAAATCATGCAAGGGGATCTTAATAAATTTTGACAAAATGTTTTAAAGGTATGGGGCTAGAGAGGGTGCTCCGAGTTTCCATGCCTTTTTTGGGTATGATACCTTCCCAGCACCTTGATGTGTTCACTAGCCTAGAAGCTCTCCAAACCCTGAGTTTAGGGGGTTTTATTTATTTATTTATTTTTAAAGATTTTATTTATTTATTTGACAGAGAGAGAGCGAGAGAGGGAACACAAGCAGGAGGAGCGGGAGAGGGAGAAGCAGGTTTCCCGCAGAGTAGGAAGCCCGATGAGGGGCTCGATCCCAGGACCCCGAGATCATGACCTGGGCCGAAGGCAGGCGCTTAACAACTGAGCCACCCAGGCACCCCGTTTAGGGGTTCTTAATGGAGGCTTCACTATGTAGGCATGATTGATTAAGTCACTGACCACTGTTGATGGTCCATCTTCTGTCCCTCTTCCCTCCCCAGAGGTGGGGGGTGGGGCTAAACTTCCAAGTTTCTCATCAAGATTTGGTCTTTCCGGTGAGCAGCCCCCATTCTGAAGCTATCTAGAGGCTGCTAAGAGTTGCCTCATTAGAATAAAAGGTGCCCCTATCACCTCCAAGGAAATGACATGGGATTTAGGAGCTTTGTGTCAGGAACGGGGGACAAAGGCATAGATCTATGATAGCACAGGTCACCTCCTGGTGTTTGACCACAGATCCCTTATAGCAAAAGGGCATATTTCTAGATGCCCAAGTAGTCATTAATGATTAATAATTCATCATATTGAATGAAAATGTCTCCCGGGGCAAGGTCACTCAGATTTGCAGACTTCCATTCGATCTTGTCAGGTTCCAAAAGCAGGAGTGATCACAGCACTCTATGGCTTCACCCTCTCAGGCATAACTCACAACAGCCCAATGCAAGAGCTACACGGAGCAAGGTGTGGGTGGGCGCAGGGCTCCCGGGTGCTCTGGGGCGCTCCCCCCTCCCAGCACCTCTATGCGCTCACCGGCCCTGAGTTCCGTGCCTCTTTCTCTACGGGACCTCCCAATGGTACTACACGGGGCTGGGGGAGGTGGGGGCCTTTTCTTTAGAGCCATTTCATTTTTCCAGAGAGGAACCTGCCAGCTTCGGTCCCAGGGTAGAAACGCAATGTACGGGTGGGCTAGGGGTTCAGCCTTCCTTTGACAGATTTTCATTGCTTGTAGCCTCACACCTCACTCCTACCCTGTGTTTTATGCACTGGCCCTGAGCCCTGGGCTTTCCCCGTTTCTCTAAGAGTAGACCTCCAGTGTGGAAGATGCTCCATGCCTGGCTGGTGTGTGGGGAGAGGATCTCCCTCCCAATGTCCATTTTCGGTTCCCTGCTTCACAGCCCCCTCTCTCCAAGTCTTGAACCTCTCTCCAGGGCTCTGTGTTCCGAGGTGTCCCATTCAGTGTGTCCTATCTGTGGTTTCCTCACCTTCCTCCATCAACTTTCCATCTTTGAAATATGTCTTCAGTCTTCTTGGATGCTGATGTTCCTCTCCCATTCTCTCTGTTGTGCGCTCATAGGTTTTTGTCTCTTTATTGTCCTTTATTGGGGTCTGGGGAGGCAGAGGGAATATTGTATGCATCTTAACCTGAAATTCTGCCACTAGTTTATAAGATCAAGGATTTGAAGCAGTGGATGTGGGCAGAAAGGAGAAATGTGAGACTCAGCTAGGAAGAGTCAGACTGAGGCTTGAAAGTAATTTTTATTCATCCGAGCAGCACACACGTTGGGTATTAAAGACAGGGCCGCCATCAGCGCTAGAAGACTACTTGTGGCGATCATCTTCTCCCAAGCTCCACATTTTAGCCTTGTACAGCGTGATATCATTGTAGACCCTGAAGTGGTTCAGCCTGCGGTCATCACGTTCCGGGTTGACCTAGAGAGGAGAACGCAGGCATCAGAAGGAAGCCTCAGCGGAGGTGGGACGACCTAGGTTCGACATCGGATGGACCTGGGCTCGAATGTGTGGCCTCCAGTGTGTCTCCTTGCACAACCTTGTTTGGGAAATGGAAATGACAGCATTTACATCAAAATAGTTGTAACCTAGGCAGAGTTGCTGCACTTTGCTTTCCCGCACCTGCCTTGGAGGCCACACCTCTGGACTCTTGGTCCGCATGGAATGGAAGCTCCAGGACGGCGGCGGTTCTATGTTTCAGTCGCTGCTTATCTCTAACACCTAGAACAGTATCCAGCACACCCTAGGGGTTCAGGACACATTTGTGGAATGAAAGAATGGATGCTGTTGATGTGGTTACACAGAGAACTAAGGGCAAGCACTCTGACATAAACTGTATAGAAGCTCTAAGATGAACTTATGCAATTAAAGAATACATCTTCATCAGATGTTACTAGGAGAGCAGAAGCTGAGAGGTATTTGAGTGCGCCTTCCCCCGTGTCCCAATATTGGGATTGGGGTTGTCTGCTTGTCCAGGGTGAGGTTCTGCTAGGGGGCAGGGAGCCCTGAGTTAAATTCGGGCTGATCAAGCCTCTTTTGCCCCCAATCATATCACTCTGAACCTCCGGCTTAATTAACTGTTATGGTTGCATAACACCTGGATCTAACTTTGGGGGGTATACTTTCTTACTCTGCCACCAGCGCCATCTGACAGCACTGTCCCTACATTTGTGACGATGGACAGGCTTGGCGTATTCGTAGACGCTTTGCAACTCCACAGCGATGGCTGTCCCTCATCTGCAAGGCCTGGGAGGGTTGGAGCAGGGCAGGGTGGCCAGGGCACCCTCACAGGCCCTTCCCGTTATGGCCATCTGAGCCTGCCATGAGATATGCTGGTCACAGATGCATTTCCACATGCACACTCTGTACCCACGGGAGCCAGGCCTTTCCTCTTTAAGAAAATGAAGAATAGTGAGTTAAATTATTTGCGCTTTGTAATATTTTTTGAAGTTGCTTAATTATCTAATTCGGATAATTTATCTTTCCCTTCACAACCCTCCAGCCCCACCCTTATTCACTGTAAGTCAGTCCCCCACCCATCCTCCTCCTCTGTCCCTTGGAGCATTGCTCTTTTTAGACTCAGTCACCCTGTGAGGGTGGGGTGCGCCCGCTGGACCCACTTCCTGTGTCCCAGTCTCCCAGTCTCCGCTCTCCAGGGTGAGGCCTCACATCTGAAGAGGAGCTGTTGTAAAGGAGCAGCTTTTTTCTGAGCCTCCCTCCCTCCCTCCCTCCCTCCCTCCTTATGACGAGCTATTTACTCCAATCTCCCTGCAATAGCCCTGCGGCAGAGCCCCATGCCCCAGCCTAGAGAAGGCCAGGCCCCGCAGTAGAAAGGTAAGAACTACAGGATGTGGGCAGTTCTTGGGAAGGGTGCACGCTCAGTAGAGAAAGACAACTGGGATCAAGACAAGGGGCCAAGAGAAGCAGGTGCTTGCTCCCTGGTTGGGCTACGAGCTCTCTTTCCTATTCCTCCTCACTTACATCACAGTAGTCCGCATTTATTGAGCACCTACTATGTGCTGGGCACTGCCCTAAGCAGTTTAAACACATTGTCTCAGTTAATCCCCACAACACACCTTCAAGTGTCAGCATTATTGTTCCCATTTTAAGGTGGGTAAATGGTTGTTGAGAGGTTCAGGTCCCACAGCCAGAAGGTGGTGGAGCCGGGATTTGAACTCGGCTGACTGGCTCCAGAGCCACCACGTTACATTGATCCACGGAACTGAGCTGAATGGTGCGGGAGCCGAGGCATGCGGTGCTCCAGGAGCACACTGGGAAGGTGCCCAGCTCTGCCTGGTGGGGAATGCGGGGCGCACGTCCCTTTCTGGGGCTTTATAAAGAGGTGACTCCTGAGCAGTCCTGAAGGACGAGGAGGACCCCCCCCCCCAAGGAGTATAGGCTAGGGTCAGGAGGCAGGCTGCAGGAGCAGTCTACGTAAGGACACAGGGCATGCAAGACCTTGGTGCCTTTGAGGGAATGCAGGAAGTTCTGATATAGCTGAGGAAGAGCGTCTCCAGCTTCACATCAGGTGCCAAATACACAGATGGACTAAAAGCCAAGTGTTAAGAAGATCCGACAACTTGGAGAAAAATCTAAAAGGAAAGCTAGTCGCTTGGCAACTCTGGATATTGAAGGTTTTCCTAAGCAAGGCACAAACCCCAGAAACCATGATGTAATAGGCTGGCACATCTGACTCAAAAACTAAAACAGTCTATGTGATAAAAGACGTGGGCAAGTTAAAAGACAAATGTGGCAGGAAGTCCTTCAAATTGTCTTTCTACCAGAAGCCTATCTCATTGGGGGGTGATAACGTGCTGATGATCACATTTCCCAGGCTCCTCGCAGCTACTGGTACGTTTCCAGTCCAACGAGGGACGTGTTGTTACCAGCGTTCCCATTTTACAGATAAGGGGATGGAACTCTGTGAGGCTACGTGACGTGCCCAAGACCACCCTCCTAGTAACTGGCAGAGCAAACTCAGGCAGGCAGTCACCAGCGGGCTTTGTTTGGTCCACACCTACACAGCGTCTGCTATGTGTTAGGCACTCTTCGAAGCACCTTACGAACACCACCTCATTCTGTAATACCTGGACTATCTCCATGTTACACTGAGGAAACAGAGTCACAGAAGAGCTCAGTGACTTACCCAGGGTCACACAGCTTATAAGTGGCAGCCAGCGCTCAGACCCAGGCAGTCGGGCCTCATACACTGTTCTCTTAACCACACACTCTGTTTCCTCTGTGCTTCCTAAGTAAAAGGAGCCACACTTACCAAGGGCTCTGAGTCCCATCCGATTTCCTGGCTTTCAGTCCGTGTCTCTGTGTATTTCTTCCTTGGCCCATGAGCAGCATGGTGGATAAGATTTAGAAACCTGGCTGGGAGATGACGCATGAGTTATGAAAGAGGCAGGCTTGGACCAACAGCTCCTGTGCCCCTTACTCAGGCCACAGCCTGCCTCAGAGACACAGCCCTGGGCCTCGGGGGCCTGCCAAGGCCTTGCAACCCTCATCTTTCAACAAATACTGGTTGAGCACAAACTGTGCCAGGCGTTCTTCCGGACCCCAGAGGTAGAACAGCGTGTGACGGACATGGTCCCTGCTCTCCTGGAGCTTGTGGTCTAGGTGGGGTGACGGCGGGCACCATACCCAAGGGGACAAACAAATCCGACAGCGATGCCAGTTGTGAAGAAGGAGGACGCAAAGGGGCACAAAGAGGCAGGGGTGGCTACTTGAGACCAGGATCTGGATGCCAAGCAGGAGCCAGCCCTGAGACCGAGGCAGAGGAAAAGCACAGTACAGGCAGCAAGAACAAAGGCCCTGAGGCACGAGCAAGCTGGGCCAACGTGGCTGCGGCGGAGTGAGGAGGAGGGCTGTCAGAAGGCCAGATCCTCCGTACTGCTACAGGTATGGCTGCCAACCCCACGCCTCTCTGTAACTGCATAGTCTGAGGACTTCCAAAGTTTCATTTTAAATTTCCACCCTATCATGTCTCAATGTGAGAGAGGCAGTTTGAGAACGGGAAGAACCTGGGCTTCCTAGTCAGACATTCCTGGCCCTTCTGCTACTAGCCTGAAGGGTAGTTTAACTTCTCTGGGCCTCACTCTGCTCATCTGGAAAATGGGGAGATATCCAGAGTTGCCAAGTGACAATATCCACCTCAGCAAGATGACTGAGAATGAAGGACCTGGCCCCAGGCTGAGCTTATCCATAATATAAGCAGTTAGCAATACACTCCTGGCTCGCTTTCAGGTCCCTCGCTGCCTGTTACTCTCCTCATCACTGCAAGGCCCCAGCTCCTCTCCTTTCCTCCAGCTGGGCTGGTCGCCTCACCACAGATAACATCCTTACTTCCTCTGACGATGCTCTATAAGTCTATCCACTTGTCTGTCTCCGCTACGCTCTGAGATCCTCCCGCCTCCTGCCCACCCCACCTTCCTACCCTGTCGTCCTATATAAACCTTACATCTTTCCTCCATCAAATTCTACTCTAAGGGGGGGAGGGAGGCGAGCTTTCCAGGAAGGGTAGGGCTTCCATCAAATACCTCTCTTCCATCGGTCCTGAGCGTGGCCCACCCACTTGGATACCAGAGCCATCCCCACTACCCGCCTTCCTGGGCCATACTGCTGTCTCTCATTTCTGTGCCTTTCCACATAACTCAGAATGTCCTTCTGGTCTTCTGTACTTGACCTACTCCACCTCAGCCTGTTATCACCTCCGCCAAGAAGACTTCCCAGAACTCCACGGCCTCTCTAGGGCACCTGTTTTCTCTGTTGTTGCCATCCCAATTTTACCCTCTATTTACTCGTCTGTCTCCTTCACTGCTGTATGAGGTCTGCACCTCCCCCACCCCCCCGCCCCATCAGAGTGACTGTCTCATGTAATAATGAAAGTAATAGCATTTCACCATGTACGATACTGTTCTATACTCTGAGTACCTGCTTTATTTTGTTTAATCCTCACAACAACGTGAGAGATAGGTTCAGGGAGGTTAAAACTTGCCTGAAGTCACACGGTTAATGAGTGGTAGAACCAGGATTTGAACTCCATTAAAATGACTTCAGAGCCTCTGCTTGTAACAGCAAAATGTTTGATGAATGAATATATGAATGCACTGTTAAGGCCATTAGGAGTACCTTTCTTGGCTTGACAGTCAATGAATTGGCCGTATGGTTGGATATGTCAGTCTCCTGTGAGCTTCACGAGTGTGAGTCCAGTTTTCAGATGATCAAAGTGTTGCCCCAAGGTAACACTACTCTGACAGCTCTCTCCAGCCCCCTGCTTATCAGTGCTCTCTCTCAGTGGTGTTCACAAAGCCTGGGACTTACCATCTGCAGGTTCCTCCAGGTTATCGTGCCAAGACATGGGCTTTCTGGTGATTGTGTGAACTAGAGAAAAACAGCATCATAGGTTCACGTTAAAACATTAACGCCCCACCCTCTTGAAGACTTACCCTAGCCAGACACCTGCTGAGCATTTTCTGAGTGTCTGCCACATGTCAGGTATTGTGCTGGGCACTTGGGAATAAGGCTCTCAAGGACCTCACAATCCAGAGTGGCACTGTCCAGGACAGTGGCCACCAGCCACATGTGGCTACTTGAATTTGAATAGTTAAAATTAAATACACTTAGAAATCCATTCCATAGGCACACTAGCCACATTTCAAGTGCTCAGTGGCCACATGGGGCTAATGGCCCCCATTTTGGACAGCACAGATACAAAACATTTCATTGTTGCAGAATGTTCTCTCAAACATCTGGTCTACAAGGATGCAGACAGACCAGGCAGCCAAACAAGGTTAGACACATGGTGATATATCCCCTGAAGGCTATGTGATAACAGAGGGGCAGAATCCACAGACATCCATTCAACTCATAATTACTGATGCCCAGGAGACAGGGCTGTAAACAGAGGAGGTTCCTGTACTCCCTGAGCTTCTATTTGTGGTGACAGACAATAAACGAATAAATACTTGGGCAAAAGTAAGTGAGCTGTAGAACAATAAAGCATGTTACATCGGTAGAGAGTTGATGGTGGGGTGGGAGTGGGGGTGACAGGTCCCTATAAGGGCATTAGAGCAGAGTTCCAAATAAAGTGAGGTAATGTGCTGTGTGAGCAGAGCTCCAAATAAAGTAAGGGAATCCAAGAATGAGCTTGGTGGGTTTGAGAAACATCGAGAAGGCCAGAGTAATTCCGTGAAGTGAGCTAGGTGGAGGCTAGTAGGAAATGAGCAGAGGCCAGAAGGAACCAGTGGTCTCCAAAGTGATTTTTTACCTCAGACTCCTACCAGTAAAAAACTTCTGAGCACACACCTAGTACATGTGTATTTATATGTTCTCTATGTACTATGAGTAGTATAATTTCTTTCTTTATACCTAAAAGTAAACATAAATACAAATTCTAGCAGAAATACGAGTTCTAATTCTACTACTTCCTCACTTTACCCCAATGGATCACACTAATCATGTGCCCAAGGGACATGAGCTGGGAGACCTAGAAAGCCTGAACGTTGCCTGAAGGGATTATTTAAATTGTGGTAATGGACCAAGTTTAAACAGAATTGACCTTTAATTTGTTTTCCTGAAATTGGTTGGGAGCTCCAGAGGAAAACCAGGTTAGTTATGAGCAAAATGAAGACATTACATTTTCTGTGCTCTCACCGCCCCCCACCCCACACACACACAAGCACACACACATACACACAGGGTAACTCTGTGAGATGGGTATGCTACTTAGCTTGACTGTTGTAAGCATTTCACTGTATATGTATATCAAAACATCATGTTGTACATCTTAAATATATACAATTTTTATCTAGAAAGGGACATTACATTTTCTCTACAGAGCTGAGCTGCAGTGGACTATAGTTAATTAGGCCCAGAAGTTGGGAGAGAAGTTCTGGAAGAAGAAACAATGATTATGAAGGTAACAAGATGGGGAAAGGTGCGATATATTTAGGAAATCCATTTATTTAGACATGGTGGGAGAGAAGGGAGCTTGTGGCTGGTGCAGAGTAGGCACTAAAATATTTATTAAAGGAGCAGTGTGTGGCTGGAGAGGGGAGTCCCGATGAGGCCAGGTGGGCGGCAGAGCCCGATCCACGGGGGTCTTATGCACTGAGCAGGTTAAACCTCAGTTCAGAAGCTATGGGCCACTGAGGGTTACAGAGGGACTGGGGAGATCGAACTCACTTTTAGCATAGCTCCAGCCAGCAGTGGTGTAGGGGAGAGTGGGCTTGGAGGAAGAGGGTAGTTAGGAGCCCATCAGATCAGTGCAAACTGAAGTGAGGAGGACCCTGCTGAGGCTTGGCAGGGATGCTGGAGAGAGAGGTGGACTCAGGCCCTATTTGGGGTGGGGGGGGAAGTAAGTGAGGAGAGGTGGAGATGCTTCCACATGCACCATAGCCTCTCACTGAGGCCACATCACTGGAAGGGTCAGGTGAGAGAAATGTTAAGGAATAACCAGGACTGTGACCACTTCGACATGTGCAGTGAGGCAGAGACTGAGGATGACTTCTAGGCTTCTAACTTGGGAGAGAAAAAAATTGCAGTACCTTCTGCTCAAACAAGATACTCTGGAATAGCAGCGGGTGGGGGAGAGGTGCAAGATGCCCCCAGTTTTCCAACTGGTGAATTTAAGGTATCCATGTGTTGTCTAGGGGAAGAGAGCTGGGCGGTGGTTGGGGTATGGGTCTGGGGCCGGTGATTTGAGACCCGGTGGCCTTCAGGGGCAGCTCATGCTGCAGGACCAGATGCAACTGCCCAAGGAATGTGCCAGGTGAGGAGTGGGGGCAGGGCCGTTTTATCAGGGGGGCACTATGAACCCTGAGTCCACCACCCCTGAACTTCCCAAACATCTAAGACAATATGAGAAGCCTGGAAAAACAAACAACTAGCTTATTAACAAACACAACTAGCTTATTAACAACAAACCAAAACACAAACAACAAAACGAAACACAAAACCCTACAAAATATAATTATTTCGAAAGCAGAATTTTAAAAAGCCTTTCAAACTTTTGACAAAAATACTATTTAATCGCGATATGTGTGCATTTTAATATATTAAAGTATTTGATGGGATGCGGAGCGAGACCTTCCGCACCGCCCGCCGAGTCAGAGTCCCAAAATCTAGGGAGGGGGGCGAGGTCAGAGAAGGCTCCTACTGTGCTCCGCCCCGCATCCCCGCCCCGCACCCCCACGGCCCCCCCCTCCCGGGGGGCGCCCACCCTGTCCCCTACCTCCGCCCCGGGGCGCCCCTCACCCTTGCGGAGGGGATTCACGTGATACTGTGTGTAGAGTTTCTGGGTTCGAAGCTCTTTGACGTATAATTCCCGCAGGATCTGGTTCTGATGGACCTCATCTGGGATCACCTTCTCCTTTTGGCGTCCGGCCATGGCTTTGGCGGTGCCCGGTGCGGTCCTGCTCCTTCTCACTGCCCTCCGGACGCTGGCCCGGTTGGGGGGAGGGCGGACAGGGCGGAGCGCCGTCTCCAGGCAACGGCGTCCCACGCTGTCTCCCGGCAACAGCGTCCCGGATTACAGCCTCCCTTCGACTCCCTCCGGGCCGCCCATCCCACCCCCACTTCCAGAACCTTAGTTCTTACCCCGCTTCCTTCCGAAGCCCGAAGCTCAAAGCCGGAAGCCCGAAGCCCGAAGCCCGACGACTCACCTTCCCCAGCCTCAAGATCCTCCTTACTAGGATGGCCCCTGCATACGGCCAGGAGAGGGCACACGTCCAGCAGCAGACCCAGGAGGTAATGGACTGGATTGGACCTCACCTTGGACAGTCATTTCCTAAGAAAGATTTGGGAAGGAGTCAGAAACCTCTCCCATTTTATTTTATTTTTTATCTCTCCCTCTGATTTCATCTTTTTTTTTAATTATTATTTTTTAAATTTTATTTTATTATGTTATGTTAATCACCATACATTACATCATTAGTTTTTGATGTAGTGT